GCAGCTCGCGTGCATTCCCACCTGTACTAAACGTGTGATCGGATCAACCAAGTACTCGTTAATGCCAGGTGAGAACCGAACCTCTGTTTATCTGGTGAGCTGGCAAGTGACAACACGTTCCCCTCAGTCACACCCACTGTCACACTAGGAGGGGGGCTGCGATCAGTGATCACTACATTATCATTACCCTATCCTTAGCCCAGCACTGTGAGTTATAACACAGCAGATATACAGCTGCAGATGGTTCAACTCTGATACTGATACGCGACTGTTCCGAATCTTAAAGCTTGAACATGATTGACTTGAGCGGTCGGTTTAATCTCAAGCAAACAGCAGTAATGACATAACTCTGATGACTGCCTGTCTTGCAGCGATAGAGCGCAGACCTTTGACCCCTGGACGAGCAGGGAAACACAGCAAAGTTCCATCATGATAACACAGCAATCAACTATCCCCATGGAGAATGCAAAGGCATGAACGCACCCCCTGACTCCATCTCGACATGTGAGGACTCAGTGCTGCCACGTCAGAAAGGTCACACTTGGCTAACGTAGCTAACGTAAGGATAAACAGGTGGGCAGCGTGGGTCGTGAACTTACCACGGTTTCCTCCAACAACTGAAATGACGAGGCCCCAATATGTCAAACTAACAGCTGTGGCCCTCAGGTCCCCTTGTCCCCTACGTTGCGTTACTGCGGGACCCACTGCACTGTCAAGGCTTGCTGGCCAGCAAGACAGCTGCTGCTAGCTGGACTTTCCTTTATCATTTCGCAAGTTTCAGGTCGCATACAGTTGATATAGTATATTATTCTCACAGTGACAGTCTCAGGGATGACTAACTAGCTACTAGCCAGCTAGCTATCGTTAGCCAAGAAGAGGCTAATGAGCTCCAACTACAGAAGTTACACAGCAGAGACCCTTTTCCTCCGGTTCAACTGTATATTTACATAACAGGGCACATTTTGTGCAGGTCAGGGGGGTCATGCAACCTGTAAGTAAAGGTGTACGGCTACTCACCGGCACAAGACCTGGTTTTCCATATTTTTAGCAGCAGGATGATGATGGCTGCTAGGTGGGAGAGATCGCCGGTTAGCCTGAAAACGTTCATGTTTGTGGGAGCGCCAGCAGAAGCAAAGCGATTTAAGACTCTATAAAGAGCTCAGCTCGTCCCCGGTAACAAGTAATTTATGACCTGACAGTGTTGAATGACACCGTGACACTAGAATAGAATGATTCTGGCTTCAGAAGATGGGAAAATGGCGAGCAAAGCGCGACGTGGCTTGGGGACGTGGCCAAGACAACAGTATCCAATGCAAGACGGGAAACGGCCGGACGCTCAGCCAATCAGAACAGCGAGATGCTCAATTTGCATAAATTATACTATACGAATGCTGCCTCCAAGCTCCGCGGATAAGATAGGAAATCAGACATTCTTCTTTCAGCTTCGAGTTGCCATGTACAAGGAAATGCACCAGGAACTTCAACCCAGCTATGTGGAGAAAATACTTGACAGAGTAATACTTTCATCCAACTAAAACATAACTCATGTTTTATCACAAAAGTGTAGAAATGCTTCTTCAGGGAACCACTAGTTTACTTCTGACTCATTGGTTTGTGGTTTATTTTGCAAATGTGTCATTTGTATAGCATGAGAAACTCCTATCAGCAGCAGGAAACACTCACAGAATACACACCATTGAGTTTTTTCAGTTGCAAGTTGGGTTGAGCTCCATTGAAGTTATTATATTTATATATATAAAAACCTTCCCTCTCACCCTCTTGGCGGTTGGTATCTGTGTCATCACTCAGCTGGGTCCTCTACCCAGAGGCCTGGGAGCTTGAGGGTTCTGGCGCAGTATTCTTAGCTGTTCTTAGGACTGGCGCTCTTCTGGACTGAGGCTTCTGATGTTGTTCCTGGGATCTGTTGGAGCCACTCCCCCAGTTTGGGGGTCACTGCCCCGAGTGCTCCTCATAACCACGGGGTCACGCCTTTGCCTGACTTTTCCACATCTGCTCCGCTGTTTCTTTCAACCCTTCGTACTTTTCAACTATTTCGGTGTCCGTTTTTTCTGATGTTGGCGTCTGCTGGTTCATTGGCCACATCTATTCACCACCGCTTTCTTCTGCTCCTTGTCTTACCACCACTTACTGTTCTGGTTGTTGGCCAGGACCTGTTTGTCAGTCTGGAAAGCTGAGGTCCCACACGGCACCTTGGCCTGTTGTTTCTCAGCCACCCTTCTGTGGTGCGGCCCATTGTTGGATTTGGGTTTCTATTCATCTGGGTACAGATGTTCCTGTACACTATTCCAGCCACTTGGTTATATATACATATACTAATTACACCAATTCATTCATACATTAAATAACACCTGAGAAGTGCAGGAAAATAATGTTATAATTTTTTATTTCTGGAACCCAGATTATACTCTCAGACACTCCTCCAATACAAATATTGCATTATTGTGCACAGTTTTGAATAGTCGTTGTGCAAGTAACATTTGACATGAGACCATGTAACTTTAGAAAGTAACAAATAACGCAACGCTCTCTTACAATAAAAAGTTGAATTTCAAAAACCAATAATCAACACTTCTTAATTCAATGTTAAGGGGATTTTGAGGCTACAGCATGACTTGGTTGTACTGCCAAGCAGCCATACAGCGGTAATGTTAGAAAAACTTACTAGATATTTGCTGACATCAGTTTGTCAGCTTTTATGGCTTTTTGCTCTATCAGTTAAACTTGTTTTGGCATTAAAGCTGCACTAATCAGTGTTTTTCATATACAATGGTCAAATTATACATGTTATGTAATGTGGAACATAGAGACGAACACACTGGAGATACAGTTAGCAACTAGCATGTGGGAACGTAGTGGCAGAGTTAGGCCCCCTAGGTGTCACAAAATATCAATAAATTTGCAGATTTAAACATTATCAAAATAAGCTTTAAACATGGAATCAATTAAAGTTCACTTGAGCCATTGGGTTTTCACATAATTTTTCGTAGGCTAGCTTTAATGAAGGCCTCGTTATTACTTTCTATCATCACTGATAACAGATTTTTTTTAAATTAAAAGGAAGCTGTAAGTGAATTTTTCATTTTGGGTTGACCTTTGACTACTGACTCCGAGGGCAATGTGCGTTTCTTTAACTTCCCCCGCTCCTCCCGCCCACTTTCCCTCCGCGGTCCAAGTTGGCCTCCGTGCGACGTATGCTGTTACGTCATACCAAGGGCTGAGGGTAAGTGAACGAGGGGAAGTGGAACTACTAATGAAACGCAGCCAAATTCTGCTGCCTGCCCTTTAGGACCGCCTCTTTGTGGAGTTCTCTCTCTTGATTGGATAAAGTGGGAACAGGTGATAGAAAATGTATTATCCATTTCCTGCAGAAAGTAGGGACTGGGAGACCCATGATACTGACTGGACAAAGTGATGGCTGTCAGAATGTGGAGCTATTCAACACTTATTGTAACAAAAGAATATCACTGATAGCACCTTTAAAATACAACAAACCCAATCCAGAGGGATTAAATCAAGTGTGTGTGCGTACACTGGTCCTTTGCATTAGGCACAGAACAAATTACAAAATCAACAAAGATTCAACCATGATTATTCCCACTGATATTACAGAATGATGAAACTAACAGTAAACATTCCCCACAAACAACAGACTACATAACAAACACCTACAACATATTGATATGTCTTACAAAATTTGATCTTCAGTGGAGTTTCAATACAGGCAAACTGCTATCCAGTTATTTTTTGCTTAAAAAGTAGGAGGTATCACGGTCACACACGATGGCTGGTAAATGTAGGAACTACAGTACCTGAGCTTCACACCTGACTCACCACTTCTAAACAAGTCAAAGTACTGCGTTTTATGAATGAAGCTTATGAGAATTGCATTAAAATCCTGCCCGGAGTAAACAAACAAGATACAGCAAAATAAGGGCCTCCGACAGTCCCATGATGCATTTGGAATTCAGTGTGCAGGCTCTGAACTATCTTCTGAGGCCTTGAGAACAAAAACTGCATCATCGAGAACGTAGTAATCGTTATACATGTCCCCTTCACAGAGGTATGGCAACCGGGTCACAGCCTCCACCTCAAACCCCGCCCTTCGGAAAACCTCATTGGACAGTTCAGTTACTTGCTCCTCCCAAGTTTTTCCTTTTACTTTCAGGTGTTCTTTGGGACGCTGCCATCTTCCTCCTGAGAACAAATACAGACAGAATGTTTTTATTTGGATCACATAGGAAGTTTAAAATGATATCATGTAAAGTATGGCAATATCCCCGACTGACCGATTTCCACGTAAGGCTGGAAGGGAAGCACCGCAGCCAGGATGAGTCTCCCGGTGTTGGGAACCAGCGATCGCCGGATGTCCCGCAGGAGGTGCAGAGGATCGTCGCAGCGGTCCAGCAGGTTCAGACAGCTGACCACATCGTACTGGAAACCAGTCTGCTGCCACTCATCTATCCCTAGCACCCTGAGCATGAAAACACAAGATTTTCAGATGGTAATACGTTACTTAAATTATAATTTTTACAGTCTGCCTGTTTTGTACAATGCATACCATCATTTCTCACATGGTAAATCCAGCATAATATATTTCTCACTTGTAATTCCTCCTTTGAAGATGCCATTTCATGGGTAATGAGACCTCAGTTGCGTAGACCTCTCTGAAATGGGCCCCCATCACCTCTGTGACGCCTCCATCCCCAGCTCCGAGGTCCAGTAGCCTCTCAGCCCTCCACTCTGGGCCGATCCGGAGCAGCTGCTGGAACTGCTCCGCGGAAAACACAAACATGGAGCCACGACCCAGAAACCTGAGACAGAGAACACGTCAGAGGGAGATACGCAACAGGCGAGACGGAGACAGATATGTCTCTGCACTACTCACCCGTTGATGGAAGTGCGGGAGACCAGAGGGCCGAGGACCGTTGATACGAAAGAGTGGTAGAGCTGGGTGAACAGCCAGCCAGACTTCTCCACGCTCCGTTTGAGAAAAGCCTTGGTGTCGGAGTCCAGATGGCTTTGGACAAACAGGGGTTGCACTGATTCTCCGAGCAGGTCCGGACAGCACTGGTACCACTGGAGTCACAGCGGAAAAGGAAAAGAACGGTTAAAACTGAAGAGAGCTGAAGAACCTTTTACAGCAGGAAACCTGGATCAGATCCTCAACACCTTTAAAACTACTGTAAATATGTACACATGGCATGATAGCTGTACTTGATATATATATATATATATATATTTAGAAAAACTGTTTTTTGAATATGTATACGTTAGGAAATGTGTTTTTCATATTTTATTGGACTACTCTGTAAGACATCCTTGAATGATACTTGTTTATCCACGTGAATGTTTATTAATGTCACAAATATAACCTTAAAAAGGAGCCACAAATTCACAGTCCAGTTACATTGTCCTGTATTTTTGTTGATATTTTGGCACTCAGTACCTATCCTACAGAGATGCTGTGGCTATTCTAGCCTTTCTTGTAGTTTTCCAAGACATGGCTATGATTGAATGCCAGTTTATTAATTTATTTATTTATTATCTGTAAGTATCTGTAGCCCTGAAACTCTTCAAATGAGCTGTCCTTTGATGGTGGTTTCACCAGGAGTGCATTATGACTGGAAAAATCTGGGATTTGTCTATCAGAAGTCCATTCATCCAGGGTTCGTGTTCAAATGAGACTCAACTCAACTAAAATGTGTTCAAATTAGAGAAGAACTCTCAAAACAGACACAACTACATGAAGGTGTTAAAATAAATAATAATAACAATAATAATAATAATAATAATAATAATAATAATGCTAAAGCAGGGCAGTAATCAACCCCTTTGTTTGCAAAAGTCCATTTAAAAATGAGACTAATCTAACTTCTGTAGCTTGCTAATTGGAGAAGGTGCACACATACGAGTCTAGTCTTCACGTGTGCATTGACTGTGGTTAGTGTCCATCTACAGGACTGATAATGATGAATAACTGATTCATAATTCTTACCTCTTGCGTCTCAGCCGCGGCCGCTTCGCTCTCGCTCACCATGTTCATAAACAGTGACCGGACGAGTGGACTACGGACGTACTTCCCCGTCCACATCCTCCTGATGGAGAGCAGAAAGGCGATGTAGCCCAGCACCCACGCTACAAAAATCAATGTCCTCAGCTGTAGATGACACATAATGACAACAACCCTGAGTAGGAAAGCCGACAGACAGCGGTTGCAGTCGCGAACAGACTGGCCAGTGGATAGCACTGAGGAGTTAGTTAATATTAGATGAAGAGAAAGAAGAAGGTAATGGCAGCCAATTGTAAACCAACACGCCAGTGCATGTCTCCAGTTCCAAGACAACACACAAACAAACCTGAGGGTGCGGCGGATTTAAGAAAGCCAGCTGCTATTTACTCGCCATCTTAGTATTGTGAATCCATTGTCTTTTCTTCCAACTATCCAGCTAGTGTTTCTCCTGTGTGCTCTCTGCCCATTATGACAACAAAGACTTACATCCGCATTGTGTGCACTTCCTGAGTTACCGCTAAACGTGTCCCCGGAAATGTCCAAATGCTTCTCCGCTGCTTGGCTTTAACTGCAACTTCGCCGTTTGTTTATTGCCATTTATTTTGCCGAGGAGAGTAACTGCTGAAGCCCAAACATGCGCCACATTTCTCAGAAGACAGGTAGCACTTATGTTTCGCCGAAATACTTCTAATTTATTTTTTTTATCATGTGATGTGACATCATCGCTGTGGCCTCGTTCCATAACCTCTCAAACACCCCGCAGACTTTACATTGCGTGTGAAATGTTCAGTGTTTTATAGCCCACGGTTATCGTATTGAACGAAAAACGTAACATTTAAACGATGTATTGCATCATCTTTCTTCCCGGGTTGAGTGCATGAGTCAGTTGTTGCCATTAGCGTTGGTTTTGTGTTGCGCAGGCCTGTCGCAGGACGGTGTTACGGCTTACTCTAACGTCACCCAGGGGTCTATATCTGATTTAAACATGACATGCCCAACTCTGTTCTCAATCCGTCAAATTAAGGCATCATTGCATTTTTGAGATTTACATGACCCTTGAGATAAAACCAAAGGACTGTCTACAACGGCTCTACAATTCGGCATGCATACTGAGATTAACAAGATCTATTTTAAGAAAAAGTTAGGTTTGGTTTGTGTCATTTGGATGATTTTCTTCCACATTACATTGAAGGCTGTAGCAAGCTTTTGAGTTACCACCAAACTAAAATAAATTGCTGTTTTCATAATTAGTATCATTCAGAACACCTGTGTTTACTCTACTATTTCATGTCAAAGTGGTTGCTGTGAAGAAGGTCTATTCTCCTGCTTGCCTATTTTTCAAAGCTTGTTTTTCCTGGATGGTCAGTGTACTTTGCAGACAACAGATTTTGTTTTGAAATGAGAAAACCAAAAATCGGGAAACAACCCGTTTTCTATTTTTATAAATAAAAATTAGCAGTTTTCTGTTCATTTCCAAACTAAAATCCTGCAAAGTACATTGACCCTGGATCTTCTTTTCTATATTACCTGCATCACTACTCTGTAAACGACTCAGGTCTCTCGTTATCTAGAGCCCCCTCTGCCCCTGTCCTGTCTGCGCCTCCTGGTCCCACCACTTCGGCTGGTCTCTGCAGCAATCTGGGAAACTGTCCAGCAGAAAGTTGTGGCCAATTACGGGCTGCTGGATGACTTTGTGACAGCAGTCACAGAGATAGTCCCGGAGCTTCTTAATCGGAGACAGAGGTGTTTGCTGAGCCTTGGCCTCCGGGTCCAGGTACTGTGTATAGAAGCAAGAATATTGAGCTATTAAGTGCAGTATTTTAGAGACGCTACAACTTAAAATGCTGGCTCTTCATGTAAGGCTGAAATTTGCCACAGTTACAATTTTTTCTTGGTTTTAGCTGACACTGGAGTTGTGTCGCCCAGAGCAGACAATAGACCTTGAGACAATTCAGCCACATCTGGATATAGTCACTTCACTATGGAACACAGAGGTACATTTATCTTTATTTCATGCATGGAAACTGCATGGTTTCAAATAATTGGCAGCCAGAACTTAACCTTTGCCCTTTATCACAGATAAGTGATTCAGAGGATGGATCGTCTTCACCTAACCTGCTTGGTCTTATTCACACGCTAATTAAAGACCAGGAGGAGAGGCAGCACTTCTTCCAGGTCTGTATCTGTGGTTGTGTGAAGCTTTTAGATATTTGTATCCTTTGTGCTGAAAACTTTAATCGTTTCTTTTGCTTAATTTCAGGAGGTTTTCCCAGCAAGATTTGGAGACAAATACTCTAAAGATATAAAGATGCTTGTGGAAATCTTCCTCTTGCAGCTTGACAAGTTACTCACTGTACCTAATCTTAAACAAGTAAGTGAAAACATTTTGAGACCCAAAGGTTATGACGTTGATAATTTTACTTATAGGCAAAATGGTGGAAAACTGAATTTTGTGTTATTTGGCTAACTCTACACTCCAATCATACTAGGACTTGAGTAAAAATAGATTTTTTGGAGTCTGCCAAGTCAACTAAGTTAGGGTAACCATATTGTGACTCCAGTTCTGTTTATAACGTAGATGACATGAGACCGATATCAATTTTCTCATCTCACTCTTGGAAAGAAAACAAGCAAGCATTTTTCCCAAAATGTTCAACTATTCCATTGATATGATCTTTCTCATGAGCAGGTTGCCTGTATGCTCAGCGATGAGCCTTCAGTTCTGTCCGAATGTGTGAAGTGTTTCTGTCAATCCCAGGAACTTAAATCTCTTCTGGAATATCAGAAAGATCTGCGGCAACTAAATGAAAATGGTAAGAATGCTGTACACTCATGATGGAAAACCTACAGATTTACGGCACACTATTATATCAGTGAAGCCACCGGGCTGTTTATCTTATGGTAACTGTATGTATTTAAATTTTCAGATAACCCAACAGTTGGTGCCAGCATTTGTTCAGCTCTCTGTCTGCCACCTTTGACAACAGTCTTGACAGAACAAGAACAAACACCACTAGAAGCAAATGTGTTAACTGATTACATGGACGCATTCAACAAAGAACTGACAGTGGAGACTGCTACGCTGGGGAAAAGGGCAGATTATGTTAAGACAGAGAGTGACGTACCAAAAAGCAGAGAAGCAGAAACCAGTTTGAAGAATCAGTCCTTCGATAACAGGGAAGAAGGAGTAGAGGATGAGATCTCATACTCTGTTCCAAATGTTGGGTCTTTGGATGGGGATAAGATGAGTGTAGACCCATGTGCCGTTGAGGTCCAGGTAGGTTATAATGTTGAAATTCCTGCTGAGGAAACTGTTACCACAGAGAATAAGCCCTCTATTGAAGACTCAGCTATGGATATCAGAGAGGATGAGCAAGTTAAGGCATTAGTCAGACCCACAGATGACAGTGATTATAAAGTCATGAGTGCTAGTGAGACCAAAAACCACTCAAAAGAAGAGAGCAAGGAGGTCAGTACCAGCACAATAACTGATGAAGAAGTGAAAAACATCAATGTATCTAATGTAGTGCTGTCACCTGTACTGTATGCACCTGTTGTGATCGCATCCCAAAGACCGGTCAGACAGTACCGAGGTCTGAAGATGAAAAACGCTTCAGTAACGCCCAAATATGAGCAGACAAAGAGGGGTCCTCGAGTTGCGTCAACCAGCAAGACTTGTCCCACATGTGGTAAGACATACAGTCGTGCGTCAGATATGAGAAGGCATCAGAGGACCCACACAGGAGAGCGGCCTTTCCAATGTTCGCAGTGTAAAAAATGCTTTCAGTTCCAGTACGACCTGAAGAGACACGAGTTAAATGTGTGTCGAATCACTGTGCCACAGCCTCAGAACTGGTCCTCTGAGGTACTTGAAGACAAAAACACTCAAGACCCAAAGAAGGGGGAGGTTGGTGGCCAGCTTCAAACTTTACCATTGGCTGTTAGTCTGGAAAAGGAATGTCTAGCCAATCAGAAACAAGCAGAGGTTTATTCTGGAAAGGTAGTACCTCTTCCTACCGAGCAAGATCTCAAACCATTCAGCAGCAAAGTCCAGTTAGCAGACATAAAGGAGCAAAGCCCCAAACCTCATCAGGACAAACGGAGGGACAAGAAATCAAAGGGTATTAAGTCGAAAAAGACACATAAACGCAACCCTGCTGACACTTCACTGTATTGTGTGGAATGCAACAGGTCATTCCCAGACACGGCAAGACTGAAAACGCATAATCTGAGACACAAGCCTCGTCCGTGCACTAAGTGTGGTGAGAGTTTCAAAGGTTTCATGGACCTCAACCAGCACTATGTTGAAGTCCATGAGTTCAGGGGACCTTTTTCCTGCACCTTGTGTGAACGAACTTACACGGATCTGAGAGGTCTGATCAGGCACGAGAGGTTCCACACAGGCGAGCTTCCTTTTAAATGCCCCAAGTGCCCCAAAGCGTTCAGTTACGCATCTGCCCTGACGCTGCATGACCGAACTCACACAAAAGAGGCTCCATTCCTCTGCTGGGATTGCGGGAAGGGTTGCAAGTCCAACGCCGCCCTCAGAATCCACAGATTGTGTTGTCACAGCAGCGCCAAGGACAAGCGGTTCTGCTGCGAGCACTGCGGAAAAGCTTACGCGCTTAAAAGAAGCTTGGACCTCCACGTGGCAAAACTACACACCGGCGTGCGCTACCCGTGCTCCCACTGCGGCAAACTGTTCCGAAGTGCGAGCTCGTTGACGAGACACGATCTGACCCACACAGAGGAAAGACCGTACTCGTGCAGTGAGTGCGGCAAGAGTTTCCGATCGGCGTCGGAACTCAAGATACACACTCGCTATCACACCGGGGAGAGGCCATTCAAGTGTCAAGAATGTGGCAAGGGGTTTGTGCAGTCTTATTACCTCACTTCACACATGAGGATGCATACAGGAGAAAAGCCGTATAAATGTCTGACATGTGACAAATATTTTAAAACCACAGGTATATTGAAGAGGCACCAAATAACCCACACAGGAGAGAAACCCCATAAATGTTCAGTATGTGAAATGGCCTTCAGTCGGCCAGAGCTTGTAAAAGCTCATATGAAGAAATTTCATTAAATCTGTAAAACTGGTTTATATCATGTTTTGTTTTTTCGTAAGTAACCAAATTTTTCACATGATCCATAAAATAAAATATTACTGGAAGAAATCTCAAATGTGCCATTCGATTTATGGTGCTATCATTATTGTTTGTGTTTGTCTCCGCATTGTTAAAGGTGCAGTGTGTAACATTTAGGAGGATCTATGGGCAGAAATGGAATATAATATTAATAGGTATGTTCTCATTAGTGTATAATCTCCTGAAAATGAGAATAAGAGTTTTGTTTTTATCTACAAAGGGAGTGGGTCCTGCAATGTTAGAAAATACATACTTGCTCTATATAGGGGCTTTTCCGTGTTTTGTGGCCACCATAGTTTCTCCTGCACAATTGGAACAGGAAGGTGAAGCAAGGGGTTGTAATCTACAACTACAAGAAATCCTACATCCTTCAATACATTTTTCCAATATCAGTGTTGGGCAATAACAAATTACACATTACATGTTACAGTAATGCGATTACTTTTCAGTAATGAGAAATTTGAAGATCAGTAATCACTGTACATTAACAAATCCCAGTAATGTTGTCATAAGACAATTTGAGGATTGGCTTGTTTGCTTACCAGGAGTTTGATGACGGGTTATCATTTTGGTCTGCTGGTGGTTAGTTGATGACTGGTCCGATTTGTGTGTTAGTGGGGTTGATTAGCGTTGTTTCAGTAAAAACGATGCCATGAGAACAGGGAGAGTGAACCAAAACAGTAAAGTGGCAGCCGGACAGCTTCACAATGAGCACCATAAGGCTGTGGGGACCTATCGCTATACAGTCATTTTATGCATTGTTATTGTAAAAATATCCACTATAGCCGCTTTAATATTTAATTTAACAAAGAAAATTGAGGTTGAAATTTCAGTTCAACTTTAATGTACCTATCTGATTTCAGACTCAGGCAATTAAACTGGACGCAACAATGAACAAAATCTCTGAACTCATATTTACAGTCAGAGACTACAGTTATAGAGTGACTACGGTTATAGAGTGGGATTCTTCCTTTGGTATGAGCTGGGGTTGGTATGAGACTGGGTCAGTTACATGCTCAGAGTCAAGCGCATCATACAGTATAGTCATTATTTCTCTTTTGACCCTGTCCCTCAGCGCCGGGTTCCGTATCCTCTTCAGTTCCATTGCAACGGTGACGCCAAACGAGTCCTCGCAGTCTCTCTCCGGTTGTCTGCTGGTCTCCTGAATAACATCCACCATGTGCTGCAACAACGCAACTTTCTGCCTCTCCGTGTCATTTCTGTTTTGGGTTTTTGGCTGTTTTCTGGCGGGCTGAGGGGGGAGCGGTGACACAGAGGAGCTCTCGGTGGGTGAAGGTGACGCCGCACCATCAAAGTCCTGGGATGGCGCTGTGTTCTCTGGCTCGCTGTTGCTGCTGTCCTGCTGTGTCATCAGTGCCTCTTTTATCGACTGGCCAAGCTGTAACACAGATTACGTGTAAATATGATATGTAGATACTTTAAACACCAGTTGTCAGGGCTTATGTTAATGTAACACTCACATTGTCTTCAGAAGAGCGATGGCTGATATATTTTTTGAGGAATTCACAGGATTTCAGGATCCTCCTCTGCCTTAATGTCAGCGGCCTCTTCTTCTTCCCAGAACCCTGCGGTTTCACCAGTTTGGAATACTGAGTTCGTAGTGTGGTGGCCCTCGTCTTCACATCCCCAACTGCAAACCGCAAAAAATTGAACACGTAACGTAACGTATCTTACAAACAAAGCAGCCACCCTCACATTAAAGCTGCACTTCTCTTTTTTTTTTATATAATAGCAATGGATTAAAGGGGCGCTGTGGAGTTTTTACATCAGTCACTAAAACACATGGTGTGTATCTTGGAGGTCTAACAAACGTTTAAAGCAGATTATGTTTTATCATTGACAACCCCATTCTGTTTATTTAGTTTTAGTTGAGAAAAAGTCACAACTATTTAGAATAGATTTAGTCAATGAAAACTGTTGACATTGTAGTCATCAGACTATACTGATACAGCTGTTTTTGCATGTTTCTGGGCCGCTGTACTTTCTTCCCTGTGCATGGCTGCGACCTCCAGACAGCAAGACGAGGAGTTCCTTTCTTTGTTTTTGTGAAAAAAGAAAACGGGGTGTGCAACCGATTTTCTGATTTGATTTTCTATCAACTTCTAGAAGACTGCCACCTTGTGCTTTAAGAAATTACAATGGGCATTATTCAAAAATTTTAGATATTTTATAGACTAGCAGATAAATCCATGAATTAGGAAATAATCCCCATGTCAGCTGATTCAAAAATAATCATTAATTGCAGCTGTAAACAATATCAACAATTTATAACTATTTCTGATGAAACTTATGGCATCATTTGCCCACCACATACAAAGCAGGGGGAAGCACTCACCTGGAAGTTCCAAAGCAGTAGCGATTTCAGTCCATTTCTTTTCCCTCTCCACCCTGTCGTGAAATCTGTCTCCGGTCAGGTTGTACAGACATTCATGCTGCTGCCACAGCTCTAAAAAGCTGTCCTCCTTCTCCACGGACCAGGTGCTCCTAACAGCAGCAGCATTCTCTGCGGGTGAGTGGGACCTGCCGGAATCCAGGTCCGGGGAAAAGGCTGTGTTGTCTGGCTCGCTGTCGTCGCTGTCCTGTTGTGTGGTCAGCATGTCTTTTGGTGATTGGTCGAGCTGTGACACAGATTGTGTGTAAGGTCAGACGTCTGTATAGTCAGGTCATTGGACTTTTCACAATAATTGTCTGTCAACTATTTGTCAGAGCATCTCAACCACACGTGAAGGCCTCACAGCTGTTTGATATTATTTTAGTTTGATATTTTGGATGAATGCATTTTATTTCTATGTCTCTACACATGTATGAAGCTAGACTGGTAGCAGGGGAAACAGCTCTTCTTCTGCAGCTTTATACTCCACTGCATCTGAGAGGCAAATATTGTACCTTTTACTCCATTACATTTGTCTGACAGCTTTAGACAGCTGTTTCTGATAAACTGAAGGATTAAGTGTTCCTTAATGGGTTAAGAAAGTTCTCTTAAAAGGACCACTGTATAAGATTTAGTGGCATCTAGTAGTGAAGATAGTTTCATTCCCGCGCTCTTCCCATTGAAAGAGTGCAGCTACAATGGGTAATAAAGTTTATCTTTATGGATTATATTGATGCCGAATTGACAAGAAGACTGTTGACAAACGATGCG